CATCCATCCATCCATCCATCCATCCATCCATCCATCCATCCATCCATCCATCCATCCATCCATCCATCCATCCCTGGGCTCTAAATTGCCAACCAAGAGACAGTGAAGGAAAGAGAAACGAAGGCAGCCGTGTCAACTAGATTCCCTCTCTGTTCACCTATGTTGACCTTGGAATGAAGGCATATTCCTATGTTTACAATGAACTGTTGGTTGGAAAGCGACATTGAGTTCTATCCTCTGAGACAGGGGTGGGTTTAGGGGCTCAAATGGGTGCTGGGAAACTGTGAAGGCCTGCTTCAGGCCTTTCCTCTTTAGTGAGTTGGACTCTTTGTACTTTCCTTAATTCTTCACTTAGCAGGGAGGAGAAGAGGTTAGGTGAGGTTGGCTTCTCAGAATCCTTTGATTTGGTGGAGGTGACCACTGCGAGTCAATCTCCTAGACCTCTTTGGTGGTTCTAACTGCCCACCCCTAAATCTCAACTGCTCCTTGGCTTCTCTTTCCCTCCCAGGTAGTGGACATCATGCGAGTGAACGTGGACAAGGTCCTAGAGAGGGATCAGAAGCTTTCAGAGCTGGACGATCGTGCCGACGCTCTTCAAGCCGGAGCATCTCAGTTTGAAACAAGCGCCGCCAAGCTTAAGCGCAAATACTGGTGGAAGAACCTAAAGGTAGGATGGAGGGGAGGGCTGTCCCCCTGCCCACCCCATGGGGAAACCCCTTGGCCTCCTTCCCCTTGTCCAAATGGCCAGTCTGCGCTTGGCTGAGACACCCTCTCTCCCTGGCAAGTGTAATCAACGTTATAAGGAGAAGTCCTCTGAGTCCGGACAGATTCCATCTTGTGGGGAGGTGGGGGTTGTGTTTTTGGATCGCTCCTACACGGAAGCGTCTCACGGTTGTGGATCAGATAGAAAATGCCCACTGGATAAAGCACCATAAAAAACTTCTCAAGGCAGTGGAAAAGGAATACGGGCAACCTTGTCACGGAGCATCTATACAGGGAAGGCTTGGGTGAAAAGATCCCAGGAACCAGTTGTCTCAAAAATGGGGAGAAGCCATGGGGGGGCACTCTGGCTCTTGGGAGGAATGCTGGACCTCCCTCCATGATCTCTGAGATCAACTAGATCTATTTACAGGTGTGTTGTTGCTAAGGTGGTCCATTGGGCGTCTTGGTGCCAAGCTACCTGGCATCAGGTTTGGGAGAAGTAGGCAGAGGGTTAACCTGGTGAGGGCCCCACTTCCAAGCGGGCCCAGCCACAGGGTCCCCCTAGCCCTCTGGATGTACGCAACTTCAGCCTTCCTGCTCCTAGAGGCTGGGCCAATGAGGAGCAATGACAGCTGGAGCCCAAAGCCTCTGGAGGGTGCAGACTTCCAGGACCACTATTTGAAAATGCTTTCTTTGCCTGTGATGTTCCTGGCATCCGGCTGGGGAATTCTGGGAGTTGAAGTCCACACCTCTTAACGTTGCCAAGTTTGGGAAACACTGATCTAATCCTCATTCAGCATTCAGTTTTCATGTCTTCTTTTCTTCTTTCCAATTGCAGATGATGATAATTCTGGGGGTGATATGCGCCATTATCTTGATCATTATCATTGGTGAGTTGCACGGCAAACAGTGCGGGGGAGGTGGGGGGTACTGAAGAGGGGCGGGAAAGTACCCAAACTGCTTTAGGTTGGGTCCCGTCTGGAGTTTTGCTGTGAATAGGTTGATTCATCTGTTGCAAAGCCCCTTCATGTTCTCCCTCTCCGTTTTGCGATGCTTAAGGTAGCAAAAGGTTGTCCGCTGTATGGATTGCAACAAGAATGAGCTTTTTGGTGGGCTTTAATCCAGCTTTCCCAAACCATGCTTGATATGTTGCGGGGGAGATGGGCGGCATACAAATTTAATAAATAAATTTATTGGGGGATCAAGGGGGTGTTTATCGCTTCTGGACAGCACCTGCCTAGGGAAAGGCTGGCCCAAAGTCTACATCCATGCTGACGGAGAGGATGGAGATGTTCAAGGGTCAGATCCCTCTTCCAGATGAGAAATACCGTGGCTGGTTTTTGAAAAAAAGGGATTGCAACCATCCTGACACTTTTCTGAGCAATCTTCTGGGTGAAGAGCAGTCTTCTTGCCCTAATCTCTAATGTGGCTCAATGTAGCAAGTTTTGTGAAGCCCGTTGTGGTTTCAGAAACAAACTCTAGCTTCGCCCAGTCCCGTGTTGCGCAGCGCAGACACTGAACGGGTGACTGAATCGCTGGGATCCTTAATGACCCTTTTCCTTTCTTTTCTCCTCTGCAGTTTACTTCAGCACTTAGTGGAATTCACCGAGTCATTTCCCATCCAGGAGCAGTGGCCGGGAGAGGCGCGAGGGGCGAAGTCTTCCAGCCCCAGCTTCCCCTCCATACACACCCCCTACACCTCCCTTCCCAGCCCATCCCCTCCCCGGTGTGTGTGAGTGTGTGTTGCGTGTGGGTGTC